TGGAAAGCCCCAGCCCTGTGGGGGAGGGTGACAAACAGGAAAGGGTTAAAGGGCTGGGGCCGGTGGCCTTTGATGGAGGCTGAGGATCAGCAGCACTGAGGGGTGCCTCTCATCCGCCCTCCTCTTTCCGGTGTAGCTCAGCTCCTGGACTTGCCACAGACAGAAAGCATAACACACTCTTGACAGGGGGAGTCTCTGCCTGACCCAGGGCGGCTCGGAGCACAGGTAAGTGCCCTTAGAGCTCAGGGTAAATGCCCTTGGCCACAACAGAGCCCGGGGAAGGGGGGGGGGGCTGGCTCCCAGGCTCCACCACCCACCCTCCTGCATCCAACCACCACTGAAGGAGAGGGAGCCCTTCCAGGCACCAGGAGCTGTGCAAGGGCTTCACCCCACCCCCCCAGGCCCCCAACTGACTCCTGGACTTCTGGGGGGGGCACACCTGACGAGCTCTTTCCCCTGAGCTATTACCTTGTCTTCAGGGAGCCTTTAGTACCTCAGTTGCTTCTGTAAAATGCGAGCACTAATGCATTTGCTGAGCTGGAAATGACCACTGAGCTAATGAAGCAGCCTCTGGCTCAAGGAATTGACGTTTTCAAAATTTGCATTTAAAAATAAATAAATAAATTAGAGAGAGAAGGCTCAAAGTCTATGTCCCAGGCAGGGTGGCCTGAGGGTTGAGAAACCTGTAAGAAGTCAGAAGAGGAAGCCTGGTCTAGTCTGGCTTTATCTGAGTCTTTGAGGCCCTTCTCATGCTGGTCTCCCGGCCATGCGGTCAAGGCCCACCCTGGCACTGCTGCTCTGAGGCCACACGCTGGAGCCAGTTGCTTTAGAGGAACTGACTTTTGGAGAGAAGACAATGGAAGCAAAGATGGGGAACAAAGTTATAGAGGGTTTCAGATCCCCTCCCGGGCTCCCGAGCTATTGGATTTGATGGCCTCCTGCCTCCTCTACCCCCTACACACACACACACACACACACACACACACACACACACGCCTCTCACGCTCACGCACGCTGGTCCTCTTGGCCCTGACTTGGCCTTGCTGGCCACCTGGTGCTGCCAGCCGTTAGCTCACAGCGGCAGGAAGTGGTGGACTCAGGCCAGCTGGTGGGGAGGGGCTCTGGGCTCATGTTGAAATCCTGGAGATTTGTGGTGTGGTTGCTGCCTCCTGACCTGGGGCCCTTCCTTCTAGCGCCTTTCTGCTTCCTGGGACAATCCCAGGCCTGGATGCCAAAACCCAGAATTCTCAGTACCTGGGAGGAGTAACAGAGAAAAGGGTTGGTCTCTGCAGAATGGCCTGTTCAGGAAGGGGGTCTGAGGGGGCCTGGGGAATGGGGACAGGTAGAGTGCCCTGTGGAGGGGCAGGCACAGGCTGTGGGCTGAGGGCCTGGTGGCTGGGCTTCCTTTTGGAGAAGTTACTTAACTTTTCTGTGCTTCATGCTTCCCCTGCCCCCTTGCCTCTGGGATGTCCACATAGAGCCCTTCATGGGGTGATCTTGGGCACGACTACTGGTCAGCCCCCGTGCCCATCCCAGGTCAGTGATGGAATCCTGGACCCCAGTATGTTCTTCTAGGCAGAAGGTGACCGGCCAGCTGAGGGCAGGAGATGCAGAGCACGGTCAATTACCTGTGGCACACGGACGACCTGCTGGGGCAGGGGGCCACTGCCAGTGTGTACAAGGCCCGAAACAAGGTAAGGCACAGCCCTGGCCATTGTGGCCCCCCTCATGCCCAGCCAGGCCCCAATGGGCATCCAGGGTGATGTGTTGCTGGGCAGAGGCCTCTGGATGTTGCTTTGTACACTCTGGGGCCAGGGGCCACGGTGGGTTCCAGCAGAGGCGTGGGAGCCGCAGAAGGCTTCTCGGCACGCGCGGTGCTTCTGTTAGGCACAGTTTGGGACTGGAGAGAAAGAGGAAGACACAAAGCCAACAGTCTGGAGATGACAGTGAATCTGGGAACAGCAGAGGCGGGAAGCTGGGTTTGTTTGGGTTTCGCCTGCCTTCATTGCAGAGCGGTGCTGAGTACATGAGACATGTTGTGCTGACTTGTCTGAAGAGCTGGAGCCAGGCAGAGCAGGCCCCCGTCCCAGCTCTGCCGCTAACACCAGGAAATGTTGGCTGCTGTTGTCATTATTGTCAATCATAATAGTAATAAGAAACCATCTCCTGCAGGGTGTCAGGTGTGCCCAGCCCTTGTCACCTCTCAGTGCTGGACTGACTGTACCCCCTAAGCAAGGGGAAGGAGCAGAGGGTGGGAGCCCATCCCATCCAGGCTGTCTTTGGTCATTTCTGGTGTTAGACTGGCAGAAGAGGCTGAAAGGAAGCTGGGGGTGGGGGTGGAGGTGGCAGGGTGGGAGGTGCTTCCAGGGGCAGAGGCAGAACTTCTGTTCTTCCCCATGGCAGAAATCTGGGGAGCTGGTTGCTGTGAAGGTCTTCAACGCTGCCAGCTACCTGCGACCCCTCGAGGTGCAGGTGAGGGAGTTTGAGGTCCTGCGGAAGCTGAATCACCAGAACATCGTCAAGCTCTTTGCAGTGGAGGAGACGGTGAGTCCAGTGCCTGGTCAGAGGAAGGTGGTCTTGTCCTTGACCTTTACAGGCTGGAAAGAGTCGGATCACATACTGATAGAGACTTGGTTACATGCTTATCAGCAGGGCAGCCAGAGCAGCAACCTATAGAATAAAGTAAAGAATTGGGGCGGTGGGAAAGTAAGGACTGGAAGGAAGGTATAATCAATGAGGGCTTCCTGCCCAGCCGGGCGTGGCGCAGTGGTGGAGCGCTGACCTAGGATCTAGGAGATCAGGGTTCGACTCCCAGTCAGGGCACATGCCCAGGTTGTGGGCTGCAGTCGATCAATGACTCTCTCATCATTGATGTTTCTATCTCTCTCTCCCCCTCTCCCTTTCTCTCTGAAATCAATAAAGATATATTTTAAAAATAAGAGGGCTTCCTGGAAAAGGTGACCTTAGACTCAGGTGTGTGAGATCAGTGTGAGTCTGAGGAGGGACAGCCAGGCCAGAAGCTAGGACCTAGAGAATGAGGGCTTTTGGCTGGGTCACCTCCTCTTGAGGAAGGGGATGAGATGTGCCCTCCTCCCCAAGTTTCCCTCTGTCCCACCTGCAGGGGGCCAGCCGGCAGAAGGTGCTGGTGATGGAATACTGCTCCAGTGGGAGCCTGCTGAGCGTGCTTGAGAGCCCTGAGAATGCCTTCGGGCTGCCTGAGGATGAGTTCCTGGTGGTGCTGCGCTGTGTGGGTGAGCCCCTCCCTGACTCCCACGGCAGCCCCCTGCCCATCTCTGACAGCCACAGGCTGGCCCTCAGCGAAGACGAAGGCCCAGAGGGGTGCGGCCCTTCTGAAACAAGTGTCCAAACACAGAAGAACATTCAGAACCTAAAAGGTGTTCCATTCAGACCTGGGACAGACAGTGAATTTATGATAAGTGGACAGAACCCAGTGTCTGACTCCTGCTGATCAGCAGTTCAAAACTCCAACTTAAAAATAAAATTTAAAGCAGGTTGTACACCAATATTCATAGCAGCATAAGGTGAAAGCAATCCAAATATCACAAATAAATGAATGGGTAAACAAAATGTGGTGTATACATATAATGGAATACTATACAGTCTTAAAAAGGAGTAACATTCTGACGCATGCTACAATGTGGATGAACCTAGAAGACGTTACACTAAGTAAAATAAACCAGACACACAAATACTACAGGACTCTACTTATGTGAGGGATTTAGAGTAATCAAATCCACAGAAACAGAAAGTAGGACGGGGTTTGGGGAGGGGGGAATGGAGAGTGATTGTTTAATGGGTAGTGTTTCTGTTTGTGAGGCTGACAAAGTTTTGGAGATGGATTGTAGTGCTGGTTGCACAACAGTGGGAATGTACTTAATGCCACTGAACTGTGCACTTACAGTAGTTACAATTGCAAATTTTATGCTAGGCTACGTGAAAATCTTTATTTTATTTATTTTTAAATATATCTTTATTGATTTCAGAGAGAGGAAAGGAGAGAGACAGACAGACAGACAGAAACGTCAATGATGAGAGTGTCATTGGGGATCGAGCCCGCAACCCGGGCATGTGCCCCGACCAGGAATCGAACCCTGATCGCCTGGATCCTAGGTTGACGCTCAACTGCTGAGCCACGCCCGGCTAGGCTACTTGAAAATTTTTAAAATAAAACTTTTAAAAATAATAAAATAGCCTAGCTGAGCATGGCTCAGTGGTTGAGCACTGACCTATGAACAGGAGGTCACGGTTCGATTCCCCGTCAGGGCAGGGCGCAAGCTCGATCCCTAGTCGGGGGCGTGCAGGAGGCAGCTGATCAATGACTCTCATCATTGATGTTTCTCTTTCCCTCTCCCCTTCCCTCCCTCTCTCTGAAATCAATACAGCATATTATAAATAATAATAATAATAATAATAATAGATGAGGAGGCAATGCCCTTTTCAGGGCGCCGGAGCCCCCACTTCTGTCCGTTTGTTAGTAACTCCTCACGGATCCACCATGGGGCCCACCTTTGCCCACCTCAGTTCTGCTTTGCCCGTGGCCCTGCCAGCCTGCGGGAACTATCTGGACCCAGGGACAGCCTCCCTCCAAGACACGGGACTGTCCCCAGTCAGAGCCACAAGCAGCCCCCTCTGTCCCCAGTGGCCGGCATGAACCACCTGAGGGAGAACGGCATCGTCCACCGCGACATCAAGCCGGGGAACATCATGCGCCTCCTGGGGGAGGAGGGACAGAGCATCTACAAGCTGACGGACTTCGGGGCTGCCCGGCAGCTGGATGACGACGAGAAGTTCATCTCAGTCTACGGGACAGAGGAGTACCTGGTGAGTGGGATACTGGGGACACACAGCCCAAGCTGAGGGCCACCCCTGCGCTGGTTGCTCCTCACCTTCTGAGGGCCTCGGTCCTATTCCCCTGCACCCAGCAGGGTTAGATCTCACCCTCTACACCCCAACCGGAAGAATTCATTCTGTTCTCTAAGAAGGAAAAGGTGATGCCGCAGCCTTCCCAGGCCTCCCTGCCCGGCCTCCCTGCCTGGTCTCCCTGCCCGGCCTCCCTGCCCAGCCTCCCTGCCCAGCCTTCCTGCCCGGCCTCCCTGCCCGGCCTCCCTGCCCAGCCTCCCTGCCCAGCCTCCCTGCCCGGTCTCCCTGCCCAGCCTCCCTGCCCGGCCTCCCTGCCTGGTCTCCCTGCCCAGCCTCCCTGCCCGGCCTCCCTGCCCGGTCTCCCTGCCCAGCCTCCCTGCCCGGCCTCCCTGCCTGGTCTCCCTGCCCAGCCTTCCTGCCCAGCCTTCCTGCCCGGTCTCCCTGCCCAGTCTCCCTGCCCAGCCTTCCTGCCCAGCCTCCCTGCCCGGCCTCCCTGCCTGGTCTCCCTGCCCGGCCTCCCTGCCTGGTCTCCCTGCCCGGCCTTCCTGCCCCAGCCTCCCTGCCTGGTCTCCCTGCCCTGGCCTCCCTGCCTGGTCTCCCTGCCCGGCCTCCCTGCCCTGGCCTCCCTGCCCGGTCTCCCTTGTGCAGTTAACTCCTTGATCTGATCCTCACGGAGGATGGGACACTACTGGTCACCACCTCTCCCAGGGTAGAGGGTGGGCAAATAAAAATGCTCTGGACAGGCCAACTCTGTGCCAACATTTGAGAAGACAAAGGAAATAGATTCTGAAAGTTCTATTGCTGCCACAAGGCAGTGGAAGGGGGTCTCATGGATGGGGGCTCAGGCCCTCATGTGCCCCCTCCCCCCATGGCTGCTCTCTGCTTCTCTCTCGCAGCACCCTGACATGTATGAGCGGGCAGTGCTTCGCAAGCCCCAGCAGAAGGCATTTGGGGTGACCGTGGATCTCTGGAGCATTGGGGTGACCCTGTACCATGCAGCCACTGGCAGCCTGCCCTTCGTCCCCTTTGGTGGGCCACGGCGCAACAAGGAGATCATGTACGGTGGGCCACGGGCAGGGATCAAGGGCCCTGGGTCTCCTTCACTGGCTCTGCTGTGTCTCTGCTTCTGCCTCTAACTCTGTGGTTCTCCTTTGGCCCACCTGACCCAGGGTTCTCTTACATCCTTGGTTATCAAGACCTGGCTGATGGGAGACTGATCAGAATCCCTTATCAATGCTTCCTTTAGCCCTCCCCGCATTGGCTGCTCACCTTATCTCAACTGAGGCTGCTGGGATACTGTCAGGGGTAGAAGTAGGGCAAGAACCAGCGTCCAGGTCCCAGGTCCAAGGTCCTCCCAGGTGTCCTGCTGTCCCATACAGAAGGAGCTGGAGGCAGTGCTGCTCCAACTGAGTGCATGGCCAGAGCAAAGAGATTTAAGGCTGACTCGCAAGAAGGTCCAGGCACCCACCCTCAGCTCGGGGTCAGCCGTGTGGAAGCTGTATGCAGTTAGGGAAAGGGCACGGACGGGTGCTGTCAGGGGGGGCTGGACGTTGAAGGGAAGAGGGGATTTGAATAGTGATGTGGAGAGGAAGAACTTTCGGGCCAAGCACAGCACAGGCACGGGTGTGGAGGCAGGCCCGCCGTGGACGTGCAGTAAGGGGACAGGGAAAATGGACAGTGGGAAGGAGCAGGGTTTGACTGGGGAGCACTAAGGCAAGGTGATCTTGTTGGCGGAGAGCCAGGATGCTCAAATTCCAGTTTCAGGCTTGAAACATTGCTCAGAGTTTGAACCAGTGCTCAGTTTATCATCCTTTGAAGTGTGATGGTCGGGGGGTCCCACTGACCTGGTCCTATCTCACCCCAGGTACCGGATCACCACAGAGAAGCCGGCTGGGGCCATTGCAGGCACTCAGAGGCAGGAGAATGGGCCCCTGGAGTGGAGCTACACCCTCCCCATCACCTGCCAGCTGTCGATGTGAGGGGCAGACACAGACCGAGGCTGGGCGGGGTATCCTCTCGCTGCTGAGGCCTGTCCCCGCAGGGCCCCTGCTGTCCGGTTGGGTCCACCACGTTCCCATTCTGACCTCAGTGTTTCCATCCAGATCCTGGAAGGCCCTTCCAGCCCTTCCCCCCATCCCACCCTGTTTCACCACCTTGGCCCCAGCTCTTCGGGCCATCCTCATGGAATGCCCCTATTACCCACTCAACGAGGACAGGTCTGGGCACCTGCCTCTGACAGTCTCTGTGTCCTGGGGGCAGGGGGCTGCAGAGCCAGCTGGTGCCCGTCCTGGCCAACATCCTGGAGGTGGAGCAGGCCAAGTGCTGGGGCTTTGACCAGTTCTTTGCGGAGACCAGTGACATCCTGCAGCGAGTCATCGTCCATGTCTTCTCGCTGCCCCAGGCGGTCCTGCACCACGTGTACATCCATGCCCACAACACGTAAGTGGCACTAATGCTGGAGGCTCAGAACCGTCTCCACCCAGGCAGGAGGGGAAGTGTCTAGATGTGGCAGCTTCTGGGTCTCATCTGAGTTTGGAAAAATCCTAGTTCCACAAAATTAAAGTGAAATGGCCCTCCTCATTACTGGTCCAGCCTCAGTGCACTTTACACTGCTGATTCAAATTAAAATCCCCGGAAGGGGGCGGGGGGTGCTGGCCATATGTTTCCCAAATTTATTGCTGGATAATTTTATGGAACCACATGAATTTTAATGGGAAGAGGTGCCAAGGCAGAGGCTGGATATCGCGGCTCCTGAGTTCTGTTTCCACTCTGTCTCCATCCACTATGAAACATGAGTTCTACTTGGTCTCTCCATTGATAAGAGAGAAAAATCACCCAGTCCTCTGAAAAGCTTTGCCCTCTCCATGGACGAAGTCTCAGCTGGGGTTTGGGTCACCCTGACCCGTATCCTGCCTGCTGACACTTGCTCTCCTGCCCCTGTCTCCCTCTAACCCTGGTGTGTCTAGGATAGCCATCTTCCTGGACGCCGTATACAAGCAGACCAATGTGGCCCCCCAGAACCAGGAGTACCTATATGAGGGTCACCTCTGTGTCCTCGAGCCCAGCCTCTCGGCACAGCACATCACCCACACAACAGCAAGAAGCCCCCTGACGCTGTTCAGCATGGCCATTGAGACCCCCAAAGGGCTGGCCTTCAGGGACCGTGAGTAGAGCTGCACTGGCTGGGTCTTGTCTTCTCCCATTTTCCTCCAAGAGGCAGGGGTTTACACCCAGATATTGATTCATTTTCCTTGTGGGTGTTTCTTTGGGCCCACAGGGTGCCCCAAATTCTGGGTTCTTATTTTTCATATGGCCCTGAAATGCCACATGACTCAGGCTGGTGGCTCGACATCCCCAGGCTTCAGTGTCCTCACAGCTATGAAGCTTCAGTTGAAACAGGGAGCTGTAGATTTAATGTGCTCTCCACAATCTCTGCAACTGGTGGGGAAGCTTTGGAAAGTTTGCTTTGGAGGAAGCAGCAGCTAAGGTGCTGGAGAGGAGGGAAAGTGGTCAGGGGTCCAGAGCTTTATCCCCTAACTTCTAGCAAAAATATCACCTCTTGTTTGAATAATGCCAATGTCATCCTCCTACTCAGGCCTCCAAGGCTGGGAAGGGGAATTAACTTTGAAACTCCTGGGCACAGGGTGGTTTTTGGCCATTTTCTGACTGTGGAGATGGGGGCCTTGGGCATGAGACTGTAGTTTACCAAAGTGAACACAAGGGGGCAGTGATGGACTGTAACTGGAAAGAAGCTCATTCAAGTGCATTTAAGGCTTGAAAGGTGGGAAGGAGTTGGAAAGCAGGGTGGTGAGGGGTGAGCGTGAGCCAGGCTTAAGGAGTGATGACCTCAGAGTTCGGCCAGGGCCATATAGGCAGCCCCTCAGATAGGGTCTTTGTTTGCAGCTGCTCTGGACATTCCCAAGTTCATGCCCAAAGTGGACCAGCAGGCAGATTACAACACAGCCAAGGTTAGGGGTGGCCCCCTGGGTGGCAGGGAGGGGGGTTCACACAGGAGTAGGGGGTATGGAAACTGACTCTGCCCACCTGTGTTTTCAGGGTATCTTGGGTGCCGGCTACCAGGCCCTCCGGCTGGCACGGACCCTGCTGGCCGGGCAGGAGCTGATGCTTCGGGGACTGCACTGGTTCCTGTGAGTACCCTGAGGGCCGGGTGCAGAGGGCAGGGCGGGCCAGCGGGGTAGGCCAGGCAGCCCCCACCTCTTCCACGTGGCCTGGAGCCGTGGCTGCAGGCATGGTGCCCTGGGGCCCCTGGGGGAAGGCAGCTCTGACTCTGGCTCCCTCGGCAGGGAGATACTCCAGGCTACCTGCAGGCGGACACTGGAGGTCATGCGGATGGCCCTCCTCTTCCTCAGCAGCAGCCTGGGCACCGAGAGGTGGGTGTCCTGCCTAGGGTGGTGGCCCCAGCAGGCTTGAGGCCAGTTGAGACCCCTCAACCCTTCTATCTGCTCCTTACCCCCATATTTCCAACAGTGTTCCTCCCCTACCCTCACCGGGAGCTCCCACCTTCCCTGCCAAGCTAGAAATCTGAGGGCACTGCCATCCTGTCCCTCATCCCGACAACCCAGCCCCCGATGACCGCTCATATCTCTACCCCGTGCCTCACCTCAGAGGGAAAGGGGCCCGTGGGGGCACTGCCCCTCCAGGTACCATGGCAGCCCCCCTGCCCCAGGAAGGGCCTCTGTCCTCTCAGACCCGCATCTCTCACCCGCACCAGGCGCCAGAGCAGGACTTGGGGAGACATACGCACAGCCACACATGGTCCGCTGGACCTGCCGCGACAGGGATCCAGGTGATCTCACCTCGGTGCTCCTTCCCCTGCCTCCTCAGGGGCCCTGCCCTCCGGACTCATGTCCTCTCATCCCCTGACTGGGCTTCGTAGGGGTGATGGGTGGAGAAAGGGAGAGACTGGGGAGGAGGAAACCTCCCCAGGGGGTCTAGAGATGAGGAGGGAGACTCCATGGGCATCGCTGAAAAGTGGGCCCAGCCCCTGAGTCTCGGGAGAGATGGGGCCGTGGTGCAGGTGAGACGTGGGGGCTCCGCAGCCCAGGGAATCTGGTGGTGGCTGGAGCCTTTCCCTCTGGGAGGAGACCTGTGGTGACAGAGGAGCAGAGATTGTGAAAACAGGCCTGATGTCCCCACCCTTAGGCCCCTGGCCCATGTCCTCAGGAAGGTCGGGGAGTTTCCCAGCAGTGGTTGACTCACTGCAGCCTGGCTTTCCTCCCGGCGTTTGGCAGCGACTACGCTGATGATGGAGCAGATGGGGCGCTGGCAATATAGGAGGGGGAAGAGGAATGGCTCCAGATGACAGGGTGGGAGTCCCCGGCATGGCTGAGCCCAGTTCAAACAGTGACAGAGGGCAGGGCTCTGGCCAGGGCACAGAAAGGGGTCCTGGGACAGATGTGGTGCCATGCATCCAGAGGGGCCCGTGCTCCCTGGAGATGACCCTTCCCAGGCATGTGAGGGGGACAGGGTGGTTGGGTAAAGGGAAACTACAGATGGGTACAGGCAACCACAGAGGTCTTCCTGGAAGAGGTGAGGCTTCCCAGGCCATAATAAAATACCTCCAGTTGGGCGGTCCTGTGCAGAGACAGAGAAGTGGCCATGTTTGGGGGGCCCTTGGGGTTTGCAGGGGGCCATGCTGGTGAGGTTTACTGAAGCCACAGTTATGATGAGAATATCCCAGAGTGAAGCTGGAGTAGGGAAAGAGGGTGGGAAAGGGAGGAGAGAACGCAAGGAGGTCCCAGAGGGTCCAGTTGGCAGGTTAGACCCCAATAAAATGACCTATCAGTCTATTGTAGGGCCCTGAACAGGAAAGAAACATGTAGAGAAAACATTTGACCTATTTGTGCGCCCACTTGCCCTGGGCTCAGGAGTGTGGGGAGTGACAGGCTAGCCCTGAGCTGGAGTTCTGGCATCTGCTGGCCTGGCAGCTGTTTCTCCCATTCTGTTTCCAAGCCTCCCCCCACCCCAGAGTCGTGGTGTGTCCAGAGCGCTCAGGGTCAGGGGAGTGCCTGCTCCAAGCACGTTCCCCCGACCTCCCAGGGAGCAGTTCAGAGAGCACCAAGAGCACTGCGCAGAGTCAGAGGGCCAGGTCCAAGCCCCTGACAGAGCCTCTGTCTCTTCTTTTTCAAAATGAAAGGATTGGATGGTCTCTGGAGCCTCCAGCTCCAAAGCTTTTCAATTCCATTCTTTTTTGAACATCCTCAGACCTGTAAACTCTTCTAAGGTCTAAAGCCATAGCTCCTCCCACAGTGGAATCTGAAATGTTTTAATGAGCCGAATTTCATGGTTGTGGGAGCCTCAGCATCTGACACAAAGTGGCTGCCATTGCCCAGCCTGGTTACTCACCTCTCCCACAGTGCATCCCTCCTGCCTTGGACTCCCCAAGACGGGCTTTCTTGGCAGGGGGTTCTTGTCTTTGTCCAGAAGCTGGTCCTCTTTGGCAGCTGCTGCCATCTGGAGGCAGCCAGGACTGGCTCAGGGACTTCCAGGGCTGCCCCACCACCACCACCAAAATAGCTTGTGTTCGTGCCCTCTAGTCAAGCCCTTTATCTCAGAGGCCCCATTTGATCCCCACAAACACCTTATTAGGTAGCAGGAAGGAGATCCCCCCCCCCCCATTATGAGTTATGTGGATGGAGACCTTGAGGTTTGAAGAGCTACAGTGTAACTAACCCGGGGTCGTGCAGATGGGACTAGGACTCAAACCCATGTCTCCTGACTCCCTGTGCAGTCTGACTGGGTCAGCCTCATCTTCTGCCATCAAGTATTCTACCCTCCCAGACCCATCGGTCCACTCAGTTCATTCCAAAGCTGTGTACTGAGTAACCGCAGCGTGTGACACGCGGGGCCAGGCACTGGAAGTGGATGGTGAGCGGTGTGGGCCGCAGCCCTGCCTTCACGAGCTTCCACTTCGGTTCCAATTCCCTCTCCTCTTCCCCCTTCCCTCCCCCTCCGTTCCCAAGCCAAACACACAGGACTCTTTTCTTCTAATTGTTATAAAAATGCTATATGCTAATTGTAGGAAGCTGGGATATATAGATAAGCAAAAATAAAATTAAAATGCCGTATCCCACCACCCAGAGATGGGCCATCACACCTTAGTCGGATATATCCTTCTAGGTAGTTGTCTACTCTACATAAGTAAATATACTAACCGGCGAGAGGGTCTCTAGAACGTCCTGTTTCCTAACCTGCTTTTCCCAGCTGATGAGCCCTCCGCTCATCACACATTTCCATCTGATCTACATTCACTCTCACCCATGTTCAAATATCCTTAATTATCCCCCAGTTTTCCCTTCTAGCTGGTTTCATCCAACCAGGATCCAATCTAAGACCACACTGTGTTATGCTCCTTAAGTCTATTTTAATCTAGACAACTTCCCTCCCCCCCCTCCCGCCCCAATTCGTGACATTGACTTGTCGGAGGGACAACACCCATCGTCCCCACCTTCTGGACTTGGCTGCACTTCCTCCGGACGTCATCTGTCTTGTTCTTCTTGCCCAGAGCTTCCTATAAGCTGAGAGTTCTAAAGGTTGGGCGTAGTCAAGGTAAACTTTAGGCTGAGTGCGCCACAGATGAGGCTGTGGACAGCCTGACTCTCCGCTGTGCGGTTACACTTTCCCTCTGAGAGGGTCAGTGCGGAGTTCCCTTGGCGCCACACGAATGTCCGTGCCTTAATCATTCCCCAGTGATTTTAAAACCACCCTCGAGCCCGGCCGGCGTGGCTCAGCGATTGAGCCTCGACCTAGGTAGGATCCAGGAGATCGGGGTTCGATCCCCAGTCAGGGCACATGCCCGGGTTGCGGGTTTGATCCCCAGTCAGGGGCATGCAGGAGGCAGCCGATCAATGACTCTCTCATCATTGATGTTTCTTTCTCTCTCTCTCCCTCTCCCTTCCTCTCTCTGAAATCAATAAAGATATATGTTTAAAAAAAGAGAAAAACATCCCTGAATGAACAGCGTCCCTGGGGCAGCACAGTGCTAGTATTCCAAGTCCTGGCACATGACGGGCTTATATTCTGTAAAACAGAGCTTTTGCCTTATCAAGAAACTATTAGCTGTCATGAAATACAGTATCTACCAGAAAGGAACTTGATTCTTTAGTTACTAATTTTCCAAGTAAGAAGTTCATTAGCAGCTGCCTTGCATTGTGGACTCACGAATGTTCATAGAGTCAGCTTATTCCAGTCTACCTCGATCTTTATTCATTGCAGTGCTCAACAATGTCACATTGGTGAGTAGGAGCCTCTTCAAGTTGGTTCCTGTGTCCCAACCACAAAACTGCCCAGACACTCCACAAGCCAGCCCACAGGCCCCCAATGTGCCCTTCCCCTGTCCTTCCCTCAGGTTCAGCAGCACGGCTGGGATGCCCGAGGTCCCCGAGCTGAAGAGGGCCGCAGAGCTGAGGTCCAAGCTGCGGACTGTGAGTGAGGCTGGGGTCGGGCGCTGTCATGGGCAGAGCTGGGGGCAGGGGTCAGCCTGGCTGCCCCCAGCCCTGGGCTGAGGCCCCCACGGGCCGTCTGCCTTTCTGCCTTACAGTTGGCCGAGGTCCTCTCCAGATTCTCCCACAACATCTCAGAGAAGCAGGGGAGCCTGAGCAGCCTGAGCTCGGAGCTGGCGAAGAACCGGGATCAGGTACATGAGGACAGAAGGTCTGTGGGATTTACCTTCTCGGTGGGGCGGGGGCGGGGCGCACAGCCCGAAAGGTGCAGTAGCCTTCTTAGGCGGCAGTCTGCTTCCTCCCTTACCTTGGCCCCTGATGCTGGGGCGTGGGGCAGAGATGGGGGGTCCAGGAATAAGCCACACCCTCCCCTGAGACTAGCCAGGAGGAGGAAAGGATCTGGAGCCCTGCCCCCATCTGGGAGTCTAGAGAGTGAATTCAAAATCTTAGCAGGGGCAACAATTCTGAATTAAAGACTATTTTATATTTTAGTTCCCTCTCCTCTCTGAACCCTGGCTTTGCATTAGGCCCCTTCGATAGTCCTATTCATCTCATCTCATTTCCTCCTTAAGACAGTAACACTACTGTTATGCCCTTGGGGAGGTTCATTTGCCCTGAGTCGCAGCCAGCAAATGACGAGTCAGGTTTGCCCACCTCCAAAGCCTATGTTCTCGGTGTTTGCCAGGGAGTTGCAGCCCTTACGACACTTCCTCCCCTTTCACAAACATAAAATGTCCCTCAGCTGTGGCCTGATACGTGTCCCGCCCTGACCAGGGCATTCTCCTTGGCACCTGCCCACACCCGTGACCCCAGGTCCTTGATCCTGTATTTAAAAAGCTCTGGAACCCACAGGGCTTTTCCTTAACTGTTTTGGCTGCAAACCTGAGCGACAGCGACAGGGGGCTCTCTCTGGTCCCTATTATCCCACTTGGTGTGCACGGTCTTGGGGCTCTCTGGAGTTGACTGTCTTCCGTGAGGGCTGCTGCCGAGGCCCGCAGGAGTGTCCCACAGAGTAGTGTGTGTGGAATTACCTTTCTAAAATTAGAAGGCGGTTCAGAATTCCAAGCACATCCGGCCGAGCCTTCTGGACGAAGACCCCTCTGAGGTCTTGCCCGCCCCATGTTCTCCAGAGGGCAGGCACAAGGGACCCGAAAAGCCCTGGGGATGACCGTGGCTCTGCTTGGAGTCCAGTTCCAAAAATAGCTGATCCGGGGTCACTAGAGTAGCTGCAGAGAGGAAGTAGAGCTAAATAGGCCTGAGGGTGAGGAAGGCCCCCCACCCCAGACACATACACCCAACATCTGAAACAAAGTGTTTGTGGCCAGCCTGAAAAGGGGAAGGGAGAGAGAACAGTGACCTTAAACTGCAGGCCCAGGAGGCCCTTGGGCGTCATCTCCCTCATTCCCCTGCCTCCAGGCAGGAATGAGAACATGCGCTCGTAATTGTTTTAAACAAGGATTGTTGACTCACCACGTAGGTTCCTTCTATGTGCCAGGATTGGATAGACCAAGGACGCACTCCCCTTCCCAGGTGACCAGAGAGAGATTCCTTCACTCCCACCCAGGCTGTCGCTGCCAGACTCTCCTGCTTCAGGGTCCAGGGCTCTTTTCCAGAGCCTGTTAAACCTTCTCATGTAGCAAAGGCCACTCTCCTGTTGGCTGTCCTGCTTAGCTTTTTGTCTGTCTCATCCTACTAAACACCCCATGCGTGTGTGTGTGTGTGTGAAAGAGGGAGAGAGAAAACAGAATGGCAGGTGGCTGGCTGGCCCCAAGGTGCCTCAGAAAGCTTAGAGACAAGAGAGTCACCCCCACTCCGGGATTGGCCCCCCAGAACTGAGACATCGAGGCTCCTTCTGCAGGCAGGAAGCTCCTCCCTCCTCCCACCACCATCGCATCCCCTCCCTGCCCCTTTACTCTGTGCTATTTGATTCCTGTGTCACCTGGTCCCCGTCTCCTGCCCACAGCATACAGCAGATTCAGTGTTGCTTGGACAAGATGTACCTCATCTACAAACAGTTCAGGAAGTCCAGGATGCGGCCAGGTGAGCCGAGGGGACAGCAGACGGCTCCTCGTCTCGTGCTCTCCCCTCCCTCTCTCCCTCCCTCCCTCCCTCCCTTCTTCCTTCCTTCCCTCCAGTGATCCAGTCCTTGGCCGTATTTCTTACTTTCTTACGGGGTGGCTGCTGGAGGCTCGCTGTGCACTGTCAGGCGGAGCCGGAGTGCAGCTGGTCTAAGGCTGGGCCCCTGGCCACCAGCTGCCTACAGACCAGCCAGACGAGGGAGGGACTTGAAGCCTTTACACCTGAGTCTATTGTGGGGTTGGGGGGAGAAGAGACGCTTAGATGACATATATGGGAGATGCAGCGGCTGGCACCTGGGTGCCATAGAAGAGGTGGCCCTTGAAAGAGAACCCTCACCTTTGCTTTAGAGTTTAAGGACTGTTTCCCTATCCACTGTGTCTGTGGTTCACTAAAATAGTCAGGATTTCCAGAAAAGGGAGGGTCCAGAGAAATACTGCTGTAGGCAGCGGGACCAGCACCAGGTGAGACCGGCGGGTTCACACTGGACCTGGGTTCAGCAACCTCGGTACGTGGGCTCTGACTAGGAAAAAATTCAGAGCTGGGACCCAAACTGTAAGAGAACATTTATTTGGTAAATCAGAGGTAGAAAAAGTAATTCCTAGAAGACATGGGCTTAGAAAACAAGTTATAGGGGTAAAGGGCCCTTGGAGCTTGGGAGTGAGGATTCTAATGGTAACACGCCTGGGAGGGGGAGGGGGAGGGGAA